TTTAATGTTAAATATTTATAATTTTTTAATTATTTTTACAAAAAATCTTGTAAATGACGTAATTAAAATTACGTTATTTAGTTACTCTATTTTCAGTTTAATAATAGTAATTATAGAATGAAAATTCAATAATTTCTCATTTGGTTTTAATAAATATCATGTTTAATTGAAAAACAAAATTACTGAAAATTGATAGAAGCGGAGCTAATGGGCCCGCATAAAAGGCAAGTCAAGGCTTTCAAATTGCTGTTGACTCGCGTGCATAGTTCGTTATCTAAATTAAGCAAAATTAGTTATTATATGACGCAATTAAGCATAAATATAGCCAACGAATCAGACAAGAGCCAAACAGACGAATCTGTTCTGGGAACTGCGTTTGGGCGCTGCTGCGTTTGCGTTTGCGTCTGCGGCTCCGATTACCAAAAAGCTGAAACGTGTTTTAGAGCAGCGGCAGGTGTGGCTCAGGGACTACCAAATGCCTGCCAAACACAAAAACTAAGCCAGACGCAGACAGAATACACACAAAAAAAAAAAAAAAAGAAGAAAAGAAACCAAAAGAGTCAAAGATGCTGTGCGTGTGTGTGTGTTGCCAATACCAAGAATCAGATGCAGACGAACTCAGACGGACGTGACCTTGATAGTGACATTTAGATACACGTTGTCTGCATTTCAGATACAATTTTGTTTTTGTTGGCGCTGCTCATCCGGTCTCACTGCTTCTCTCTCTTTCTCTCTGCAGCACGTCAATTGCCGGGCAGTGAGAGTGGCACCCCGAACTCCACGCTGACCAGGTCGGTGCGCAGCTGCAACTGCTGTCCGTATGGCTACCACATCGACCTGGACTTTGTGCGCTACTGCGAGGCCCTGGCCAATGCCAAGCCCAGCGAGGAGGAGCTGCAGCGACGCGATCGTCGACGCTCGCGCAAGTCGATGGAGTTTATGTTGGGCTTCGAGAGTCTCTTTGGCAGCGACTGGCAGCCGGAAGGCCGTGTGCAGCCCAAGCTAATAGAGGTGAGTCGAATTTGGTGGGCTTTGATCTGCGGGCAGATCAAAGCGAGGCGCATTTCACATTTCGCACTTGATTAACTTGTCACCTGTTTACATTTCACAGGCCGCACATGAAAGCGAACCGGATTCGCCACGCCCCGCTGCCGGGCAGTCGGCCGGCTATCGGCCGCGCTCGGCGTCGGTGCCACGCTTCAGCTACGGCAGCAGCAGTTTGGCACCGCGCCCCGAATCGCCCTACGGCACTGCCTCCTCCACCTGCTCCTCGCTGCGCGGCGGCATCGAGAGCGATGCGGGCATCTATCCGTCGCCGAGGAGCCAGAGCAATCACAGCTACGGGCATGCCCGTCCGGCCGTTAGTCCGCCGGAGCGACGCGCCTTCCTCCACGAGGCACTCGACGAAGTCTGCAGCGATTTCGAGCGAACGCTGGAGCGGGCCTCGACCAAGCGGCGCAAGGCGGGCGCCTATAGCTCCCACTCCACTCCCATGGATCGCAACAACAACAGTCTCAGCCTGAGCCTAAGCCTCAACAATGGCTACGGCTCCAAGGAGGCCAAGGAACGCCGCATGGGCCATAGCACGTGGGATCGTTACTTTGATGTCGCCGCAGGTGAGTGAATATCTCTGAATATCTGCTCGCGTCTTGCGTCTTGAAATAGTCGAGGAAATACTCATGGCTGCTCGCTCTGCTCTATTCGGTTCCAATGCTGCATGATTCATAGTCGGCAGACGACTTCACTTGTATCTCTAAGATACTTTTGCTTTTTATTTCGCGCTTGCGTTTGCCGTTGCTTATCTTAGCAATTAGCAACGCCGCCGCGCGTGTGACACTTGAACGCATGAAAGTGTGAAAAATTTTGAACAACTGTTGCAAGCTGTCGAAATCCTGCACAATGGAGCGAATAGAATGAGTAATTGTATTAAAAATATGGCCTACAGTGGTCGTGCAATGAATTTAATTGCAATTTTCTTAAATGAAACAATTGCAATTACAGCAGAAATTGCGCTTGAGCGCAACAAATAATTGCCTTCAATTTTAGTTAGCGATGTTTTTAATTAACTAGCGGGTTTTTTGGGTTTGATTGTCTGACTAGTACCTCTATATATTTGGGTATATATTCGAAGATCTCAACATTGAGTAATGCTTATAACAAATAATAGTATTTCTTATATTATTAATTATTTTCGTAAAAACATCTTAGCAAATGCTGCTAAACTATATTTATTTCACTTGCAATATATATTTAAAAAAAAAGTCTTTTCATGCAATGAAGAGATCTGACACAAAAATTAATATGATGATGCCTTTTCAGGCATTATAATTTGTTGAAATTATTAATCAGGCACTTTGATTTGCATTGAAGTTTTTAATAGTTGTTAAAAAA